GGGGGTGTTTCTTGCGCTCTTGCACATGTAAAACTACACGAGATTTTTTGAAAACTGGACGTTAAGTGCAAGAATTTTGAACTCACGCATGTCTTTTCCTTGTGAGCTGTACACACGTCTTTGCTTTTGTCTCTCGCTCCAGACCTTTTAAGCTCCAGATCTTTTAGGCTTCTTTAGTTCCACCTGCAAATTCCAACAAAAAGTAGCATTACGTCTATAATAAAAGCGACAGGCTTCAATGATTAGATGCGTTCTATTGATTTATAATTACCTGTATTTATTATTTACATGCAGAACAGTCTCTCTCTCTCTCTCAACTCGTTGTCTTCCTCTCTCTCTTTCCCTCTCTCTGTCTCTCTCTCTCTGTCTCTCTCTCTGTCTCTCTCTCTGTCTCTCTCTCACAAACGCTAATACACGAAAACACATGCCCCCCCCCCCCACACACACACAAACACACACACAAACAGAAATACAAACACGTGGGCACGCGAACAAGGGTATAATTTTTATTATAAAGATCCCTTTCTTTGAGTACGTGACGGAGCTCCATGATTGTATGAAGCAGGATCACGCGAGGCAGCAGCAGCTGTCCGTCATGGCTGTGTTACATCACCCACACATGCTAAGACACAGCTGCTACCTAAGATATCCTTACGGTGCTAATGAGGATCTCCCGAATTGTTTACAAACTGAGACCGTCATTGTTACAGATGCTGTGTCTGCCGAAGAAATATGCGAGGCAACGTGGTGAAATCAGGCGTCCGTCAAAATAACGAAATCAGGGAAACAGGCATTTTTCCGTGCCTCGGGCAATTTTTATCAATTTCCCTTGGTTTTTTTTTGTTGGTCTCAGCGGATCTTATGCCCTTTTATAAAGCACATTTTGTGTGGATTTTACTGAAAAACGTTGATCAAAGGCACAAGAAATGTAATTTTGCAGTCTCCAAGAACTCTCAAGCTTTGCAAGTCAACAAACTTGGCAGCCGTTTTCTCTCGCATATTTCGCATCCAAAACCGGGCGACCCCCTACCTCCGTAATCGCAAAAAAATATAGACTTCTGTTCAAGATAGAAGGGCATTTTCTTCGTTGAAAGCAAAGTAAAAATACTGAACAAGCGTTTAGATGAAACCAATAGCTCCCCCGTCTCCCATGCCCAAAAACTGACCAACGTCGATTCCACATTAATCTGTTGTCGCGGGAAGACGCGCTAGCTTCAAGATTTCACCTGCTCCTCTGAGTCTAAGTTGAGTTTATTAGACGAAAAGATATTTTGCCTCTATTGTTTTGTCGTTTTGAATTCTAGCTCTCTACAGCACACAAAGTAAGATTTTCTAGGAAAATCTTTCAAAGAATATGGGTGTGAACTGAATGTTTAACTTGTCACTTTAGCTCATGTAAGTGGCAATGAAGTTCATTCTTTTACTTGTGGCAAACTCTTACAGTTAATGCACGAACTGTCGGGGCTTGCCGATGTGAATGGACGAAGAGAATTCGCTCTGAAAACAAGTCCCAAACCCATTGGATTTCCCCCTCACAAAGATGAAATAGAATAGAGCCGTGTTGGTCTGCAATCAGATATCTGGACGCTAGGTCACAAAAGTAACACTGGTTCTCAAATTATCAGCCATGACAGATCACGTTGTAAAGAGCAACGTATTGTTAAAGTTCTATGTCGGTATCATTATGACATACTTTCCGAAAGGTGACAGATTTCGTAACTCTGAACAAGAGACAGTTTCTTCATGGAATCTGAGCTCACTGATCTTTTGGAGGTCTAAATGACCTTTTCTCAACAACAAAAAACGGAAGAAGGACCGAGTCGAGGAACAATAGAGCTGGGGTTTTTTTTCTTTGTAGACAACCCTTTTTGACCTCAGTTGAGACTCTCGGTACTGGTGTACCTGTATTGCATACAATACATTTCGACCAAGTATAATTTGTCTGACCCAGTACTTCACCTTACCTAGTGATGCACCAAAATCTTTTTCCTAGTTATCGAATGAAAGCCGATTCATTTACAAAGAACAAAAGAGAAGGAAAAAGATGAGGAAGAGATTTGTAAGTACAGGATATTTGTTTGGAGTGGAGCTTGGTGGAGAAAAAAGGAACGAATCTTAGATAAATGCGCGCGTGCCCGTACAAACATAGACACGCGCGCACACACACACATACAGAGAGAGAGAGAGAGAGAGAGAGAC